TGGGTTTGTAATTTGCACACTTAGTATATTTTGGTTTCATGCTAATTCTGAACAATTATGTTTTGAACACACATTAATTATGCAGAATTCAATCCCTTTTTCACTTGCTAATTGACAAATTTTTTGGTGTTTTGTGCAGAAAATGTCACACTTACACAACACTCACACACATTGGCTGATGACACTTGCACAAGCTGCCATGAAAGGGGGGGTTATTCCTTACCTCTTGATTCATGTGTTAGCTACACAATACACTGAAAATTTACTGATAATAGTCTAGGTTATGAGCTGTTTTCTGCAAATTAACTGCAAGATGAGTGACAATTTTGTGAATTTTGTGTGAATTTTTTTTTTAAGTTGTTTTTCCCATTCTCAAAATGAGATCACACTTGTATTTTCAAAAATGAGGCAGTTGCCACTAGGTGCATAAATTTCTGAAAAGTGCATTGTGTTTTCATTAATCCACATGATCACTTATAATACCTAGTGAGATTTGAGCTGTCTAATTCTTTTCTTGTGTGATTAATCATATTTGGCTGTATTCTCTAGAACTTGCCCTTGTTCTTAATTGAATGTGCATGCTACAGTTTTCACCCACATGATAGAGGCCATGTTTGATTATACCTAGTCAGCCTAAAGGCCTTCCTTTATGATTGAATATCTTAGTTCACCCTTTTGAGCTTAATATCCCCTTTCTTGAAATTACCTCATTATAAAGCCCTGACTGAAAAACCAATTTTTACCATTCAAAAGATCAAAGGCATAATGAGTTTAATCAAGAATGAGTTTTAAAACTAAGTTTGGGGTGGCATCCAGATTTTAATTGCTTGAGGACAAGCAATGTTCTAAGTTTGGGGTGGGAAATAGCATGCTATCTAAGTTTGAGTTCAACAAGCCAGAAAGAAAGAACAAAAGTGCTGCAGTAAAATGAAAAATTTATGAAGCAAAGCTGTGAAAAGAACAAAAATGTGATTTCAAAAGAAAAGAAGTGCAGCAAAGTGCTGCAGAAAAAGAAAAAGAATATCAACGAAAAGAAGATAGTGACTGAAAGTAAGAAAAGAAGAAAAGAGATGAAAAATCTGCTGTAAGAAAAATTATGTTTGCTACATAAGTGAGAGAATTAAGGAGGAATAATGTAGATCCAGGCTAGTTTTAAAACAAATCACTCAAAATGCCTCTGATCTTTTGAAACTGCATGTATTGTTTTCCATTTTCTTTGATACCTACCTTAACCTTAGCCTTGTTATAACCTGAAAAAGTCCTCTAGATGTGTGATTAATTGTACTAAGCAGAGGAGATGGAGAAATTGGGCAAGCATATGGTAGAGTGTAGTGAAATTGATGATTTAGAGTGAAAACAGCACCTAAACACTGTTGAATGATGAGAGAAACACTTCCAAGTGAGCTGTGATCATGTTGATTAATTGTACTCACATGAATTTTGATGAAATATATGAACTTAGGTAGCAATTTTTACTCAATGATGATTATGCAGTAGAAATATCATGATGAGTATTTGGATGAACAACTTGATTGAAAATTTTGCAGAAAACACAGAATTAGAAATTAGAAAAATCTGAAATAAGCAGTTTATGAACTGAATTTGAAAATGGAGGAACTTACCCTTGGTTTAGTTTGATTTGCTTGAGGACAAGAAAAAATTCAGGTTTGGGGTGGTGATGAATCCATATTTTTACTGATATTTTAGCATAATTCTAGCTCATTTAATAAGAAAAATATATGAAGAAAGCAGAAAAACTCAGAAAAAGAGAATGATTGAAAGTTTTATTTCAATTTGTAGTTATTTTCGCATTTGTAGAATTTATGCTTAGTTCTTAAGGAATTTATCTTGTTTTCAAGGAATAAGCTGAGCAAAAGTCATGGAAATGGAGAATCAATGGAAAGGAAGAGGAAGAATGGCAATGTTGGACTCCAAAATACAAGAATTAAGGGTTGCAGTTTGGGCGTGATCACTATTGTTAGTGAAAGTGATCATTCCAGAGCCTAAAGGAGAAGAAGAGCCTTGCGTAATCACTTTTATTTACAAGAGTGAGCGTTGCCAGTGTGCGTTATCACTTTTGCCAGCGAAAGTGAACGTTCCAGAGAAGACTCCATTCCTGAGGAGCTGCGCGTTGTCACTTTCGCCAATGAAAGTGAGCGTTCCAGAGGGATTTGTATCAGGACAGCTTGCGCGTGGTTACTCTTGATCTCGAAAGTGATCACGCGCAGCCCTTGACCTCCTGCGTTGCCACTATTATGAATAAAAGTGAATGTTCCAGAGGAGCCTTCAACTCTGCAAGTTGCGCGTGGTTACTCTTGCTCTTGAAAGTGAACACGCACACTACATAAAGCTTCTGCGTGGTTACTCTTGTGAAGAAAAGTGACAACGCGCAAAACTGGGTTTCTATAAATACATGATTGAAGCGCGAAACTGGGATCTTTTTGCTCATTTTCTGTTTTGTTAGTTAGAGTCTCGTTGAGAGAGAGTGGAGAGAAGATTGGGGTTGAAGCTTGAAGCTCCAAGAAGAGGGATCGGATTGGAGCTCGTGGCCATGGCTGCTCTGCATTCTTCTTCATCTTCTTCTTCTTCTTTCTCTGTTTTTGTTGCAATGTGTGCTTAATTTCCCATAGTTAGGGGTTTATGGAACTCGAATTGATGTATTTATTCGACTTTATCTTCTGAACTTTAAGTTCTTGGATTAATTGAGTTGTTAATTCTGCTTTTCATGCAATCTCTGAATGGAAATTCATTTGATTAATCAAGAGGAATCTTTACCAATGGGAATTGGATTGTTTGCTCCGATCTGAATTGGCAACCAGAGTTTAGGGATTTCTTAGGGATAAGGAGACCTAATTCTGCAATCTTATAGTTCTAATTCTTAATGCAACCTGAAATTGAATCTCACCTAAGGGATTATGGAAGTTTAGTGGATTGTTAGGGTCAATGAGTTAAGGAATTAACCTTTGGCTAGATATATGTGAAACTGATTGTCAATTATTCAATTGCTTGAATGTTCAGAGGATTTAATTGGATTGATATTGATATTCTTGTGAAGTAAATTCCTAACTATCCTTCATTGCTATTTTATTTCATCACAAATCTTATACTCTGTTTCTCTGCAAGTTCTTTGCTTTAATTGCTTTGGTTTATTGCTGTTATATGTTACAAATCTCCTTCAAAAATTTGTATGGCTCAAATGGTTATAATTCTGTGAAGTGGTACTTGAAACCTAAATTCCCTGTGGAGACGATATTCTGATCTTAAATTTACTCATCACTTGCTGCAATCCTAGTGCACTTGCTAGTGTTAGATTGCGAACAACAGAAACCCAAGAATTTACCGCCAGCTACACCAAATGTGCATTTTTTAGGATTGAACCTCATACCATGCTTTCTGGCTTCTCCGAATACCTCCTCTAAGTGGTTAAGATGTTGCTTCGATGTGAGGGATTTAATTACCATGTCGTCTACATACACCTCCATGCATTTTCCCACTTGTTTTTCAAAAATTTTATTCATGAGTCGCTGGTATGTTGCTCCTGCATTCTTCAAACCGAATGGCATCACTCGATAACATAAATTTGCAGAATTTGTGATGAATGCCATTTTTTCCTCATCTGGGGGATACATTCGTATTTGATTATACCCAGAATAAGCATCCAAAAAACTCAGTATTTTATGACCGGCTGCACCATCGACCAAGGTATCAATGTTTGGTAGGGGGTATACGTCTTTTGGGCATGCTTTGTTGAGGTCCGTGAAGTCCGTGCACATTTGCCATTTGCCGTTGGCTTTTTTAACCATAACGATGTTGGCTAACCATGTTGAATACCTGACTTCTCGTATAAAGCCAGCCTGTATTAGTTTGTTGGTTTCTTCTTCTACTGCCTTTGCTCTATCACCACCAATTTTTCTTTTCTTTTGAGCTACCGGCTTGGCCCCTTTGTAGACCGATAAGTGGTGACAAAGAAATGCTGGATCAATGTCAGGCATATCTGATGCTGTCCAAGTAAACAAATCGGCGTTATCTAATAGCATCCCTTGGAGGATTTGCTTTTCTTGTGCATTCAAACCGACCCCTAAATAAGCAACTTGTTCTGGCTTTGCTCCTAGTTGGAAGGGTTGCTTGTTTTCATTAGGCTCGACCCGATATTCCTCATCCATTCTAGGATCAAGTTCAACATCTAACTCTTCTCTTAACTGAGGGGATACAATATTGACATCTCGGTTATTCTCATGAAAGGGTTTAAGACGTAAGCTTGCAAAGTAGCATTCTCTGGCCGTCTTTTGATCAGCATGGACGGTAACAATTCGGCCTCTTTCAGATGGAAATTTCATGGCCAAGTACGGAGTGGACACTATGGCCTTCAGTTTATTCAGGGATGGTCTGCCAAGTAGTATATTATAAGATGTGTTCGCATGTACTACAAGATAGGTAACTCTTATACGTTTTCCCTCGTGCTCTGACCCAAACAAGGTATACAAGTCAATACACCCTTTAGTTTCTACTCGCTCCTTAGAAAAACCGACCAACGGTTCGTGATATTCTTTGTGCTCTTCTTCCGAGATGCTTAATTGGTTAAATGTATTCCAATACAGGATGTCGGCCGAGCTTCCCTGGTCAAGTAGTGTTTTCCGAACAGTGCAGTTAAATATGTCTACATTAATTACCATGGGATCATCCTGCACCGGATCGACTCCTTGAAAGTCATCGTCAGTGAACGTAATAGGCGGGATCCGGATTCTACTGTCCAATGAAACATTATTAACCGAACGGACATGCCTGAGATGCCTTTTTCTAGCCGAATGGGTAGGTCCTCCACCAGCAAACCCTCCGGCTATGGTGTTAATGACCCTTTTCGGATACTTCTCTTGCTCGTATCTTCTAGCTGGAGGTTCCCTGTACCTGCTCCTATGTCTTTCAAATTTTTTGCCGTCAAATCTCCTTGGTGATTCAAGGTGACGATCTCTTCCTTTGTTAGGTTGCCTCATGGGATTTGTCTATATGAAATCTTTTAAATATCTGTCCTTAATTAATTTTTCAATTTTGTCTCTCAGTGCTGTACACTTCTCGGTAGTGTGACCCCTGTTCTGATGGTATCGGCAAGACTTACTTTTATCTGCCCGAGGAGGAGTGTTGGCGCGTCTAGGCATTCTCAATATTTCTGTGGCCAACGCTTGATCAAGTACTCTGGACCGGTTAGTGTTGAGCGTAGTGTAGGAAGGATATTTAGGTCCCCGAGGTGGTCGTTCAAGTTCATTTCTTCTCTCGTTTTCCTGCCTTGCTTTAAAAGCCTCCCTTTTTTCTACATTTTTTGAGTTGGCTCCTTGGTCCGTCCGTACCTGGTTCCGGTATTCGGATAATTCTTCCATCTGCATATACTTCGCAGCCTGACTCCTTAACTCGTCTAGGTCAATGGGGGGTTTTTTGCACATGCTATTAACGAAGGGTCCTGGCTTTAACGCTGTTGTGAGGTGGTGCATAGCCACTGCTGGTTCCAAGTTATGGATTGAAAGAGTCACTCTACCAAAGCATTCCATGAAAGCTCTAAGTGATTCTCCTTTTTCTTGGCGAATATTGACTAGGGCCAAGGATGTTAAGGGATGAGGCCAGCTTGTGGCGAACTGCAAGTTGAAATGTCTTGTGAGTGTTTCAAAAGAGTCGATGGATAAAGGGAGGAGTCGGGTGAACCAACTGAGTGCAGGTCCTCTGAGTGAAGTAGGAAAAATTCTACACCATAAGGCGTCGTTTTCTGTGTACAGACCGACTTGTGTTGTAAAGACATCCACGTGTTCTCCAGGGTCAGATGTGTCATCGTATTTGTCTATTGCCAACCCTCTCCAATTATCGGGCAGCTTAGCCTCCAGAATATGGTGAACAAATGGGCTCCGGTTCACAAGATCGTCCCAGCCATTTCTGGTTACCGATTGATAGACCTGTCTTGATTTCTCTTGCAACGCTGAGGATTCCCCTTGATCTTGGATGACGGGTGTAGTTTGGGAGGGGACATGTGTCCTTATCTCCTCCCTTAAGGCGGCATTTTCCCTTCTTAGGGCCGAGAGTTCCAGTGCATCTCTTTCTCGCTCCTTCTTCATCTCCGTCATTTCTGCCTTAAGCTGCCTCAGTACAGCTAGAATGCTTTCCTCTGTTCCTCCCTGTATCACCACTTCAGGTATTGGTTCCTCTGGTGTGACGCCCTCCATTTGTTGCCGAGAGGTTCCTTCTTGTTGGCTTCTCGTCATTACCATGCTTATTCCTGAAAAATGAAGTTAATCGGGCCCCACGGTGGGCGCTAAAATGTTCTTACTGGAGAAACCTCTGGTCTAGCGTCCTTCTGACAATTGCTGATGTGGGAGGGTACCTACAAAAGGCATTCCGATGGTAAAGTCAGGATTCGGTTCTGAGCAATAAATGTTATTTAATAATGAGAAGTCAACCCCTCACCTGTATTTCCTACCTTCCTTTTATAGGCATTTTATTAGGCTGATGGGCCTGTTGAGTCAGCCTTTATACTGTGGCCCATTTTTCTGGTTTAAATAATACTTTGATTATTACTCTTAATTGGGTTATTTACCTTTTAATCCTGATGACGGGTACCCGGCCTAGTATGCCGAATCGGTGCTCGGTTTCCTTTTCCTATAGGTGGGACCGAGTTGATTCCTTCTCCAGTACAGTTTTATTTGTAGAAAAAAATAACAGTTTGTTATGTTTTCTATTTTTGTAGCTGTCGGTGCCGAAGAGTATAGAAGTGGAACCCATTTTTAATCGGTAACTAAGAGGTTAGGGATGAATAGAAATTTTATATATAATTTTTTATAATTTATTTAAGTGTTTATATATATTTTCTGTAATTTAATGTAAAAATAATTGAAAATGTTTGAATTAATTTTCGTAGTTAAAAAATAGATTTAGAAGTTGATTAATTGTTGTTATATTGAATCCTGAAGTTTAGCAATAATGATATGTTTGTAAAGTTTGTAATATGTTTAGGTTTAAGTGCAATAATTTTAAAAATGATAAATTTCGTGTAAAAAATTTCGTAAGGTCAGTAAAAATAGATGAATTTTTTTTTTGTAATTGTGAATAAAATAAAAATTTGGTTGAGTGTTTTATAAAATAGTAAATTTAAATTACAGTAGTGTATAATTACAGTATAATAATATATTAAGTTGGTTGAGATAAAAAAAAATAGATAATTAGTGAAATTGGAAAAACTAAAATTGCATAATAAAATATTAAAAATTAAATAAAGTTTGTAATAAACTTTATTATTGTTAACATTAGTTAGAATGGTAAATTAAAGGTATTAAAAATATAATATAATAAAAAATATTTAAAATGTAGAATAATTTTGAGTTGAGTAAAACAAAAGTTTAGGTGAAGAAATTCAAAAAATAATAATCAGTAATTTAAAACTTGTTACCAATAAATTAGAAATTATAAAATTTAAAAATAAATTAATATTTAATGACACTATGTAGAGGAAATTTAAAAAATAATTGAAATAAAATATATAAAGATCTAAAATAATAAAATTGTAATATCGTTAAAAATAATATTTACTTAAAAAATTTATTATAGATAGAAAAAAAAACATAATTTATTAGAATTATATTTATAATACGTTAAAAAATTTCAATTTTAGGTTATTGTAGAGTAAAATAGAATTTATATTGGTAACATTTATTTAAAAAAATGTAATTATGTAAAATTATATTTATACGTATTTTTTGTAAAACTTTTGAACTTGACTTCTATAATATAATAATATATAGTGAAAAAAATTATAAAATGAGATAGGAAAATAGATTAATATTAATTATTTGTTACGAAAGAACTTTATAATATCACATGAAATAAATAAATATAATAAAGTAAGAATTTAGTTAAATAACATTAATTGAATTCTGGTATATTAAAAATAGAAGATTTAATAGAAATATTGAACAAATAATTTACGTAAATTAATAATTGTATTGTCATACATAAATATTAAACTAGTACGGCTATAATAAAATTTGAATGCAAATAAGAAGAATTTTTATATGAATGCTAATTTGCAGTAATTACATAATAAATTTATAGTTTGTATAAATATAAAATTAAAATAATATTGAATATGAATATGTAATATTATAAACAATTATTATTATGATTATGTATATTTACCATTATTATGTAACTTGATTAACTAAATTCGTAGTAGTGTTTTTAAATCATTTAATTATTAATTTTATCAATTGACTGTCATGTTTATTATGTTAATAATTGATGAATCCATATTTTACTACATTTTTATACATCATTTATTACTTTTTATAGAAAAGAATAGACTTAGATAGTGTAAATAAGATGAATATTCCAATTAGGCTAAATAATATAGGTTTCTTAGTTTTTTGTTAATTTACATGAATTTAGATAGTTTATTTTACATATTTTGATCATTTGAATAATATGGCAGGAATCCCCAAGCTTATTTTGAAGAATTATTGGATTTTGAGGAATTTGAGGTGAAAGTAACTACTTTCAATATTGATAGTGACAACTACAGCAAGTCACTTCCAACAAAGGGACCAAAGTGATCACTTCCAAAGCTTAAAGTGACAACTACAGCAGCCCAGAATCAACCAAACCTGCGCGTGGTTACTATGAATATTCATAGTAATCACTTCAGAGCATGCAAAAATTGAAGGTGCTGCGCGTAACTACTATGAATATTCATAGTAATCACTCCAGAGACCCAAAATGTCCCAGTGCTGCGCGTAACTACTATGAATATTCATAGTAATCACTCCAGAGAGGAAAAACCCAACTGATGCTGCGCGTGGTTACTATGAAAGAATGAGAGTAATTACTTTGGGCGGTGCCAGCTTTAGTATAAATAGATTTTTACCAAATTAGGGTAGGGAGTTCTTACACTTTTTGTACCTTTTCTCTTCTTTACTAAATTTAGGACACTTGGAGAGCCTAAGGTGGCCTTAGGTGACAGCCAATGGTCCAACCTAGGGTTTAATTTCCATTTTCTCCTTACTTCTCTTTGATTTTTGTATTGATGTTATTGATTTCTCTTTACTTTCATTTTGCAATTGTGAGACCCATCCTCATGAAGGGTTAATTTTCTTGTAATCTCTAGTGAGTTCATATGAATTCTTGAATTCTTGTTTTTTGAATGTTAATGCAAATCTTTTTCTTCCATGAATTTCTTCCTCCCAAACTCCTGAATTGAATTAATGGTTGAATGAGGGGAGCATTGCGTAATGAACCCTAATTCATTTTAAGGAAATTCTAAATTTGAATTGCTTAATTCTTGTTTAATTCCAAGATTGCGTAATCAAGGAATGAGAGATTGGAGTTCATTGGATTGCTTAATTCATATGAAAACATAAGGTTGATTTAACAAGCTTAAATCAACCTAATTCTGGGAGGAGAGGAAGAGTATTAAATCTTGAGAGGAATAGGGATAGAGTTTATATGAATGAACTAGGGATTACTACATTTTATCGATTGAACTTTGCAATTTAATTTTCTACTTAAGTTGATTGAACTTGAAATCACAAAACCCCCCCTTTTTTACTTGCTTTCTAAATACATTGCACACTACATGTTTGATATTTGGTCACTTGTCCAATGATTCATGGGAGACGATCTAGGCTTGCATCCTAGACTACATAAATTTTTCTGCATATTTTGATGAAGGTTCACGACAAATCTTTTTGCAAATGAGAAAATATTTCATTCATCAATAATACTAACATTTTTTTCATTGGATAGGCATTTAATCACCACATTGGTTGAAAGATGGAGGCCTGAGACACACAATTTTCATATGCCACCAGGAGAATGCACTATAACGCTTCAAGATATAGCTATACAGATAGGTCTTTGGGTTGGTGGGCTTCCAGTATTTGCCGCTACTGGAGGTAAATTGGCCACAAATAGTTGAAGACAGTCTACGTGTCAGGCCACCACCAGAGGCTTTTGTGGGGAGCAACTTGAAGCTTAGTTGGTTAGACCGACATTTTACTGACGTGGCTATGCATAATCAGAACGAGCTTCAACTAACGAGATTTGCTAAAGCGTATATTATGAGACTGATTGGAGAGTTTATGTTAGCAGATCATCCCAACAGCAGCGTGACAGTTCGATGCTTGCCTTTACTTTAGGACTTCATAATCACAGGACAGTATAGCTAGGGAGGAGCAACTCTTAGTTTTTTATATAGAGAATTATGCATGGCGACAAAAATTAACAGAGTTGCCATTGGCGGTTTGACTCCATTATTGGTCTTGTGGGCGTGGGATAGGTTTCCGTGTTTGGCTCATCCCAATCTTCCACATTTGCGGCATGATCTTCCGTATAGTGCTAGGTATGCAACTTTAACACTTTTGTAGTTTTATAAATTATTATATATAATTAGTATACTTTTATGTGGTTAGTAAATTGGGTGCCCAGAAAAACGAAGAAAGATGTCGCATATTATAGATATAAACTTGATAGTCTTAAACGAGACAAGGTTTTATTTAATTTAAAACACTGTAGTAACTTTTATAAATTTTCAATTGTTTATTTTTTAATGAATCTTATTGTTCAATTTTCACATTGTTTGGCAGCCTTATAGTCAAGAGTTACTTGAGTCATTGCCTCCCATATGCTTGCAAGGGATGAACATTTGGAGGTCAGTGGTGTACAAGGAAATGAAATAAAAGTAACTGAAAAATAAATGACATAAAAGAAACTAAAACTAAATCAGGTCTTCATTTGAGCTAGAGGAAGAAAGACTATCGTCTGCATCCTCTTTTTCTTCTTTTTTTTTTTCCTTTGAGGAGCTTGAGGTATAATCTTCATCAGCCTCCTGAGGTGGTGGGCAGTGACATAGAAGGGAACAAGGTCATTCATGACTGTTGTTTTGAGAAAAAAGGCATTCACTGCAAGGGAGTCATAAAGCTGGTCTGGAGTCATTCCCAGTTCCTTCCTTATGTTTAGCAACATGGTTTCCATCATGGTAAGCATAGCCTTCTGATTCTGATGCAAAGCATCTTGCCTCATGGCAATGCTCTTCACCTAGTCCCTCATCTTCATTAGGGTTGCTTTCCTGTATTCAGCTAGGAGGGTTAGGCCTGGATCAGCACTCTTATTTGGAGAGAATAACTCTTTCACCATAGCTGTGGTGATAGGAGGTGCTACTCTGACCCATTATTGGTAGTCTCCCATGTTTACCCCAACATCTTGGCAGAGCATGGTGATAATA